CTCTAGCACCAATGTTCTGTGCAAATGGATAACCTTTTTTGTGGGAAAATGTGGGAACTGTAAAAGTTAGGAGTGAGAAACTGTGAAAGTTAGGAATGTGCTGAATAGCAGATAGAGAAACCTAAAACACAGGCTGGACGCGCCGGTCTCTGCTTGGTTACCTGTTGGGTAGCAGGGTTGGACCCAGATAGCAATAGAGTCAAGGAATTGGCTGAAGGCAGGGGGAGGGAGCACATGGACAGCACAGTGAGCGGAATGCTCAAGTTTATGTATTCATCAATAAGGGGATTTCTCCACAGTTTGGCTGAAGAGCAGGACAAAGGGAGGGGAGACTGGGCAGAGCCATGAGCCTAGTGGAACAAAAAGAGCCATCTGCAAGGAGATGGGGGCCTTTACAAAGGAGGGAAATAGGGGAATTCCCCCACATTCTTCAGCAAGGGGGACAAGAGCCAGGTGACCTTAGGTGAGAACAGATGGAGGGAGGCAGGAGTTGGGTGTAGGCGGGCTGGGAAGGCTGTAACTGCTGAGTACCTTGGCCAATGGGGAAAAGGAGAGGGCGTCCCTCGGTCGGGAAATTAGGATAAAAGGGGGGCTGCGTCCCCCAGCAATTTGAGAGACCCCACAGGGATATGCCTCATGGACTCTCCCTTTATTTGAATAAAGTTTTGGGACTCCTCTGTCTCCTTCAACTTCCTGAGGCAAAATAAAATAGCAACACTGGGTAAAAGCAGAGACAATCCTCTTAAAACCATAGCAGCAATGTAAAAGTATGCTTTCTTCAAGCAACAACCTTCTCCTGTTTGCCTCTTGTATAAATTTCCTGTAACAGCTTGTGACAAAGAAATGTTAACATTGTGTGCTAGAGCAAAATCCGGAGTGAAAAATATTCATAATTATTCTTTTTGTTCTCTTCAAGCATGTTTGCAAAATAAACTATTAAGTATTTCAGCTCTGCCTTGCTAAAGAAACACCAACTCATCTCAGGAACGACGACAACAACAACAAAAAAAAAAAAAGGCATCTTGAGAAGCATTTTCACAAAAGCCTAGCTACAATCAAATAAAAGCAATAATAGCCTGAACAATTAATTATGAACTTTCAATTTCTTCTGCCTTTGCTTATTTAAGAAAAGGAAGAAAAGAACTGCAATCATTTCGCAGACCTCCCCTCTGATACCCTATTACAGGTCACAAGACAAATCAGTTCCTTATGCAGTAAAGAATCCAAGTACTTTAGTATCAAAACAGCCTTTTTCTAAAACAAAACAAAACGGGCTGTCTTTCTTCTTAGTAATTCTAACATATGAAATATAAAGTAGAAATCTAGTGTGAGTGTTTCCATTTATATTCTGTTTCCAGAGTCAGCATCCTCTAACTCATTTTGTAGAATCTTTTGAGTTATGTAATGTTTTCTATGTATTCCTGCAATTTAAACCCACAGGCCATGGGATCCCATTCTCTCCGAGATATGCTCTCAAATTGCCCTCCTTACATAAGAAAGGGAAACTACTATGAAATTACTCAAGCTAAAGAGAGCTGAAGACAGTCAAACACCTGAAAAGCACTAACTAGACCAAAGGATTGAACCTAAGTATCCATTCATCCTCACAGACATTTTTATTTTCTTGTGACATTTCTATTATGAAATAAATGAGGGCCACTGTTTTATTCCTTACTTTTACCTATTGATTTATCATCTTACAAAGACAATGCTCAGCTGAAAAGGGCTAGGTTTGGTACTTTTTAAAATACAAAATGCAGATTTCAAAAAACAGTGTACTTGGTGCTATTACTGACCTCTACGGCTTCTCGAAGCTGTTGCTTTGGTTCTTCATTTGATACTTCAGAATTAGACTCTGCAAGATGGATAAGAGATACTAAAATATGACATACTACAATATTTACAAAAGAAAAGATGAAAGTTTGCTTTAGCCTGAAAACATGGAACATGCAAAGGTCAATTTTCAGCTTCGCGTTTTTCTTTTTTATTTCTTCTGGAGCTAAGAAGCTGATTTAAGAAATACATAAATAGTAAACTCAAACACATTCACATTCACAAATAAGTCAAGTTGGTGGGAGGGAAGATCAGTTATAAATAGATCTAAAATAAGCATGATTTTAGTTTTTTCTTCTAAATAAAGAAACCCAACAAACAAAAGAACAGAATTGCTATTTTGTCTCCAAAGAATTTCTGTTTTTCTGTATTTTTTTAGTTGTAGCTTTTCAACAATCAAAATCAACAGGTGTTAGCACTTTTTTAGAAGGATGCACCATTTTCAGGAGAGCCAGATGAAGGACAATGGTAGAATCATAGAATATTCCATCAAATGTAACATTCTGTTAAATAAATGGTTACCATTGGTACACACGCACTTATCACATACACATATATATGTATACTCAAACACACAAATACATATATGGAAAAAAAAACTCTGCCTGCACCCTCTGCCCTGTCAAAAGATTCTTTGCTAAAGGTTGCTTTCAAAAGGGAAACCCACTTCACACTAAAAAGGGTCACAAACTGATTCATTGAAAAGAAAAGTTTGCCTATTGCAATACTAACCATACAGTGACTCAAAATGAGGCGGTTAGGACTACAAAAGCCAACCTGTAAGAGTGCATTAGATCTGATCATAGTGCCCATTAATATTTTGAGAGATTTTGAGTGTTCTTGCAAAAAGTTTGAATTAAACTTGATAAGAACTTGTGAAGTAGCTGAATTGCTTGATTTTATGAACAAAGATTTAGAAAATGATGAATGGTGAATAACTATACTCTTACCATAGCTACTTTGTTGGGTCCAACCAGTGACTCCAACTCCAGGCTTTTTGGATGATCCCTCATAAGAGCTAGTTTGTTTTGAAGAGGGAAGAACCGCAGCATCATTTCCCCCCGCTCTCTTTGCTGAGGAGAGGGAGCTGCAAACCTTTGCGGACCCTTTCCTTAGGTCTGGACGGACAGGAGCTTTGCAAATCGTCCACTTTGTAGATGCCTCCAGGCCTCCTCCAGACCCTGTTCCCCAGATCTCCATATGCCATGTCATCCTCTTCAGCACCCTGCATCTCCCTCTCTTTTTGAGGTCACTTCACTTACTGTGAACAATGCCTCTTCCAAAACAAGGCATTTTATCTAGAAAAACAAAAATGGAAAAACAAACAAACAAACAAAAAAACCCCACAAATCTGTAAGTAAAGCAGCCAAACAACATTGAAGTGAAAAATCCAACACATTTAACGTGCAGCTGCCTCCTGTACACGTCCAGGAAACAACACTGAAGCGTGCCAGGATGTTAAGCATTACAATATCTAGGCTCTGCAGATGAACACGCTCGTGTCAGGCAAGAATGCAGGCAAGAAGTTATGAGGGGGTGAAGCAGAGGCAGACGCTGCAGGGCAGCAATGCAGGAAGGGGCAGCAGCGCGAGGGCCCAGAGCTCTGCCTGCAGCCCAACACCTTGCCCCGCCGCCCCACACGTGCCCCACGGCACGGATGACACGGGCGCCTCGCCTCACCC